GCATTTAGTTTTGTTTTTCATGATGCTTTGCCTCTGTGGTTCAGCTGTTATCCAGGGTGCCTGTCCTTTTTCAAGTACTTTTCAAGTACTTCACAACATGGCCCACACATAATGGATCCTAATGTGTGTGCCAGCTCGTACGCCCAATGACTAATAGTCTTTTAGAATTGCAGTCTGCCACTGTAACTCGGATCTGATGTAATGGCTTGTAATTCCTACGTAATACCAGTGGAACTATTTATACACCAGCAGCCAGTTCGCAGTCAGATGGATGTGTGGATGAGTGTGAGCTGCTGTGCGAGCACACACATGCTTGTGTACATACTTCAGGTCTCACAAAGCTTGTCCTCATACGGGGACTGTTTACTTTCTTTTTGTCAGTCTAGTTTCAGTTGTCTTGTGAGTCTCTGGGAGGATTGTGTGTTTGTGTGTTTGTGTGTGTGTGTGTTCTATTACGTGCAGAAAATGTAATACACACAAAAATGTGAAATATGTAGCATGTGCTGCAAGTGTGTCGGTTTGTCCCAGGATGTGCCTGCATGAATGAGCACATCTGGGTGCCTCTCAGATGTGTGTGTGTGGGGGAGAGAACAAAAAGCATGTTTATTATTACTATTATTATTGATAGTGTGTGTGTGTGTGTGTGTGTGTGTGTGTGTGTGTGTGTGTGTGTGTGTGTGTTACTGTTTTCTCCCTGGGGATTACGACACAGTGCAGTTATCAGACCTGACTCATCAGAGGTTCAGAGGCCACTATGCTCCTCAATTTAAATGAGGACACAGTGACAAGTATTAGAAAAACAGAGAACTTTCTTTTTCTCTCTATTCCTCTCTTTCTTTACTCCTTCCTTCCTTCCCACCTCCTCCTGTAACTCCTTTGTTATGCTCTCTATTCTTTCAGAAGAAGACAGAGAAGTAGAGTAGGTCATTTGAAGTATGTCACTCTGTCATCTCCGTCACTTTGCTTTCTCATTCTTCTGCTCCACAGGCAGTCTCATGTCTCGTGGTATCACCCTTCTTCAGATAAGCGTTTCCAAAGCGATTGAAGGTCCCAACCCAATTTCTTCCACATTTGCTCATTTGATTTGTTTGCTTGTGAGCGCAGCCAATGGCAGTCATTAAAAAAACGAGGATCGTATCAGTTCGAGTCGAGCTTTGAAGTCACGCACGCTGTCAGATGATCTGCGTCATCTGACTGTTAGATCCACCAGACACAGTCAAAGATGCTTCTCTCCTGATGTGTGATGCTATTATTCCCACCAGCTGATTAATGTTTCTGCTGATAGCTCCTTCCACCTCACCAAGCTTTCCTGGCATTTGTTTTTTGCCACCACACTTGTACATTATGTGCACACAAGCCGTGTTGACTTAGTTACACCATTGGCAAACATGCGGTTTTCCCGGCTCCTCGTTCTTGTCTAAAACAACAGCACAACAGAGGCCGTGACATTGAATTGTCGGTTCCTGTCAACCAGACATTCAAAAGAAGTCCGATTTCATCGCAGAAACTTTCAAACAATTTGATTGTCAATATGAGCCGATACTTGGGAATGACTGACGAACTCTTCCAATGACACCAAAACCTGTATTGCAGCATGTGTGATCCGTGCAGCCTTCTCTGGGCTTTCCCCCTCTGGCTGACTAACTGTGACGTAGACAAGGGTGTGTGTGTGTCTCAGTCTGTGTGAGTGTGTGAGTGCAGTGGCATGGAGAGGGGGAGGGGGAGGAAGACAGCTGTGCAGGGCCAGATATGTAGTTAACAGTAGAAAGCATTCATACGACACATTCTGCTGCACTGTGTCACCAGACAGTCTCGCTCTCTCTCTCTCCTCTGCTCCATTTGTCCTTTTCCCTTCACGTCTCACGTCCGTCTGTCTCCCTCTCTCCCCTTCCCTCGCACACACCCACGTATGTGCCTGTGTGCATGTGCAATCATACACACATTTCTCTCACTCTCCCCTCCCCCAGCTGCAAACTCCCCCCTGTCCCACCCTCCACCCCCTCCTCAAAGTTTACCACTGTAGTAAATTAAGTTGTATTTTTCCTGTGACTGTTCTGACTTTAACCACTATTTCCTCCCTCCTTGGGTATTCCTGGATTGCACTTCATCCACGCATGTACGAGCACAAATGCACGCACTCACTTCCCTTCCCAAAAAAATTGTAGAAAAATAAAAGAAGCTGTTTGACGGAGAGCATAAAGCTGTTCTCACCTCATCCAGACGGGGTGTGTCAAGGCTTTTGTCTGATGCCGTATTAAATATCTGAGTTAAAAGGAGAAGTGTGTGTGTGTGTGTGTGTGTGT